AATTAATTATTACTCATATAATGAGATAATACCATGATATAATAGCTTAATAGAGTTTTTATGTTTTTTTGACAAGTAAATTTAAATTTTTTGGTAAAAGATAGGGATGATGGGCACCCAATTATTATTTTTAATTATTTTTTTTCTTTTTTTATCGTCAAATTTCATTGCCACAATCGGACATACAACTTTCTTATTCATGACGGGCATACACCGTCGTGCATACACCATCTCACTGCAATTTATCCCAAGCTAATAATATTTGCCAGCGTTTTTCAACTCACAGATATATCTCACATCGAAGCGATGTGAGAAGTAAAAGAGCCCAACAATCTGGCTACATTGAATGTTGTCTTGGCCATGTGAAGCGTGCGAATTGCACGTTGAAGCTTTTTAAGCTGGTAACTTTAGCTGGAATGAAGGAAGGCTTGTCAATCTCGTGTTGGAGAAAGGCTGGCGTGAAGGAAGGATTGTCAATCACATGTAGGAGGAAGGTGAAGTGCCAGCTGGCATGAAAATTGTCAATCACATTTCAAAAACACCAAGGTGTAAAAAAAAAAACCTTTCCCCAATTTTTTTCTATCTAGGCAACTTACCCCCACTCCAATTTTTCTCACACTTTTTCCCCAAACAACCTTTCCTCGCAAAAACCCCTCAAGGTAAAAAGTTGTTAATTTTTGGACATAAATGCCCTTCCTATACAAACCAAATCAATTCGTGATCCCAAATAGAGTAGTGACGGAGCCCAGTATCTTACTGCCAAAGCGGAATGTCAAGAAGCACTGCCAAAGTGCGGTGCTACATTGCTGGAGCGAACTGCCGGAGTGCGTATTTTTAGTGCCGGAGCGCATTCTCAGATTGTCGGAGCATACAGTATCACTGCTGGAGCACAATTATCAGTATGCCGGAGCAATGAGGGTCAGACAAAGCACTGCCAGAGCGCACATTGTGACTGCCGGAGTGCACATTAGGACTGCCAGAGCGCAGTCTTCCATTGCTAGAGCCGAAGGCCGTGTGAAAAGAAACAAGAGAGAGACGGCCGTGTGAAAATAAATGAGGGTATTTTAGTCTTATTTTATATTACTTTTGTGTTGGGGGGTTTTTGCGAGAAAAGGTTCTTTAGGGGAAAAAAGTGTGAGAAAAAATTGAGGTGGGGTAAGTTTCATAGATAGTCCATTTGAGGGTGTATTTTATAATTTTCTCAGAAAAGAAATCCGGATTGAAAAATAAAAAAGTAGGAACTGCCCGGTTTTACTGATACCGCATTTGGAGTGGTATCACCGATACCCGATCCGGATTTCCCGATTCTGGATCAGACCACCGATTTTAGAAACACCGCTTCAAAGCAGTGGTTTAAGAAACGGATCGGTGTCCCGAATCGGGCACCCCAAAAACCCATCCAGATAAGTGAATTGGCCGAATCTGTCGGATTAAGCTTTAAAAAAAGATCAAAAAATTATTAAAATTCATTATAAATGTTGTTTTTTAAGAATCCAATAACAAATCGAGGTACTACATTATTAATTTTCATTTTTTTTTCTATGTATGAACTTATTTTAACAAAAATACTTGTTGTATTTTTGACATTTTTTTTATACAAAACTTTTAATTTTATTGATAAGAAAGAAAGTTGACAAAAAGAGAAATTGATAAAAAACCTTTTATTTTTGTTTTTTTACAAAAAACCTTTAATTTTTTGATAAGAAAAAAATTCGACAAAAAAAAAAAGGAAAAAAAACAGTTCCTCAATAAGGAATCAATCCCGCATCCGTCCACACAATGAGTGCACGCAATAACTGGTATGACACTGGTAAGTTAGTGTTAATAAAGCTGTTAACAAAATATACGACATATAAACGTTTTAAGGTATTACGTTTTCACATAGTCCCACATTGAAGAGAAGCAAATTTATGTTAATGAATAGTTCTTTCTACTCACTGTTCGTAGCGTGTTTGAAGCAACAAGACCACGCGAAGCGCGTGGATAGTGAGCACACGTACGTGTAGGAACTTTAGGGCCCCGCGAAGCGTGTGGACCTGTGGGCTCCTGGTATCTGATGATTTTTGCCTTGAAATTCTCTGAAATTTAAATTGACATCCGAAATTTACAAAAATGCCCTTGATGTGGGTTCCTGGTTACTGACGAATTTTGCCTCAAAATTCTTTAAAATTTACAAAAATGCCCTTGACTGTAGAAGAATGGGCGGCCTTGAAATTCCCCAAAATTTACAAAAATGCCTTCTCTGACGAATTTTGCCTCGAAATTCTCCGAAATTTTAAAAAATGCCCTTGACTGTAGAAGAATGGGCGGCCTCGAAATTCCCCAAAGTTTACAAAAACGCCTTTGACTACAAAAATGCCCTTGACTGTAGACGAATGGGTGGACTCGAAACTCCCCGAAATTTACAAAAATGCCTTTGCCTGTAGAAGAATGGGCGGGTCATGAGGTCATGACACGAAGAACCGGGCGATTTACTATGTAGAATCTGTCGGTTCTAGAGAGAAGCAGGCGATTTAATATACAGAATCCACCGGTTCTAGAGAGAACCGGGCGATTTACTATGCAGAATCCATCGGTTCTTGAAAGAACCAGACGATTATTGGCTTTACACAAGAACCGACACAGGATGACTGATTCTTGATTCAAATCGGCCGATTTTGTGCCGACTCGATGATTTTTAAAACATTGCTTCAAACCATATTATTGTGTTATTTTTCTTATCGCGATTGCGAGTTGTATTTTATTTGCAACTCTACATCCTAAGCTCAATTTTTCTCTCTCTACTTATTCACCCAAAAAAAAAACAACTACCGGAACAATAATAGAAAACAAGTTCGGAAAAGACAAACAAACATTATAATAGAGGACGTCAGTGCTTTTCAGTGTTTACAGTTTAGAGAGAGAAAAAGGAAAAGAAGAAATAGGGCTGGGCTCATAGCCATTAGGTAGAGAGAGAAGAAAGAAGAGATCATCGGCTTCACAAATCTTAATGGAAGAGGTCTTAACTGATTTTTAGAGAGACAAAAGGAAGATGTTGATTTGGGATAGTTTGAAGAGAGTTTTTCTCTCTGATTTGGGATGTTTAAGAGAAAGCCATAACTATACTGATTTTTAGATAGAGAAAAGGAAGAAGGTTTTTCATTTTTATGGCGAAACAACAAGCATAGTTAAAAGATTAGGTTTTGGGAACAAATCCTATATGTACAATTGCTTGCTCCTGTATGTTTACAGTTTATACTATATTGTTTATGTTTGTTATCACATAATCAAAAACAAAATATTGATTACTTGGTCTTGTAGTCACACTCTTTGCTTCTCATTCATCACTAAAAGACTATGTTTTGAGCTCTAATTTGTGCCATAAACAGTATTTTCATAAAAAAAAATTATCACAAAAATCTGCATGTATATGATTTTCTTTACACAATGATTACTTTACAAAATGATTTGCTATAAGCAGTATTTCATTTACACAGTTATTTTCCATAATAGCAACTGAAATCTACATCTATTTAATTAAGTTTAAAAACAAGGGGATTTTTTTTCATACCTTCAGTATGCAACTGTGGCTTTGAAGAACCCAATAGGGATAAAAATTTATATTTTAGGTTTTTTTTTAAATGATTTTTTTTTTTTTAACAAGCATGAAAGTAGTAATGGCTGCAATACACAAAACAGGGGAAAAAAATATCTTTCAAAAAAAATTATAGGTAAAAAAAGATATATTTTTTGGCTTGATTTAAATCATATTATGAAAAAAACACGTTTTAAAAGTTTTTTTTTATAAAAACTATGCGATTTGTTGCCGACCTTTTAAAAAATTCGTCGTTTAAAACTGCTTCCATAAAAATGGTGATTTTTTTTATTATGGTCGACAGGCATTCACACTTATTGCCACTGTTTAAGATCACTCTTTAGGGCTTGTTTGAATGACAAGTAATTTATTTGAAAAAGATTATTATGTTATCTAAAATTAATTAAAAATTAATCAAACTACCCGCAAGAGATAAATTATTTAATAATTTACCCTTTTACAATTATTCCACGTCATGATCATGTGTATTTTGATAGATAGTCTAAAATTACGTCAAAAAGATATAGCCTAAATATAATCTAGATAATACTATTTTGTTAACTATTTTGGTACTATTCTTGTGCATAATATCATTTAGGGTTTGTTATAGGTACTTGTGGCTAAAGACATGTAATTTTAAGTAAATCATAAAAGAGTAAGCCTATAAATTTGTCTCACATAACTTATATTGGACATTGTAAAACAATACATCATTCAAATTAGGAATAGGTACTTATGGCTAAAGACATGTAATTTTCAGTAAATCATAAAAGAGTAAAGCCTAAAAATTTGTCTCACATAATTTATATTGGACATTGTAAAACAATACATCATTCAAATTAGGAATACTAATATAAAATAGTAAATTATCAAAGTGATATGGCCCTTAATGAATAAATGGAGTTCGTAAAAAATTACAACTTTGTTTGTAGAAGTAAGATTATAATTTTCTACACCATCTATTTAAACGGCGTAGGTGTAACATGTCTTCAAAAACAATAAAAGATATTCAAATTAAGAATTCTTGTATAAAATGGTAAATTATCAAAGTGATGATGGCCCTTAATGAATAAATGGAAGATTATAATTTTCTACACCACTTATTTAAACAACGTTGATTTAACATGCTTCTAAAGACAATAAAAGGCCTAACTTGGCATTGCCAAAGAAAGGTCTCGAGAGAGTTGAGCTGGAAACGGTTCTAACCTTTGATTTATGCTCAAAGTAGTCGCTCTCGAAAACCAGCTCATGCACGCTGACTATCTGAGCTTTTTAGATAGCCATTCATCTCTTTAAAGAGGATATAATTTCGTTTTTAATATAGTACTAAATATGTACTATCCAAATAAAATAAAAGATGTGGACCACTGAAATTTTAGATTCATAGAAAATGATGGCATATGCGGAGATCGTTTTCAAGTTTTCCACTATTCTCTCTCTCCCCATCGTTTTCTGTCTTTTTCCCATTATCAAAATGTTGTCATTGATTTTCTTGGCTTTGAGTTCCTATTTTCCCGTTGCCTCCGCAAGGAAAACAAGAAATGTCCGGACTTTCCAAAATGATATATTAACATACGACTGCAACGTCCTTTGACTGCGTTACCAAGGAACATTCTACGGAGGACAGAGCATAGAAGTGCGTTCAGGGGAGGCGGCTGAATTGAATGTCCTTCAAATTCAGAACAAAGAGGACATGAAACATATACAAAAAAATTCAGAAAAAAGGGGAGTGTCACGTTTTAACACCTTATTAAATCCTAAGTTCAGAGCTTCCGAGGTCAATTTAACCTGGATTTTTTCTGGGGTTTCTCAAATTCAGGCTTGTAACTTCATTTTCCCCGTTAATGTTTTCTTTTTCGCTTTTAGTTCGAAATTTTCGCCGTGAATCTTGATGCATTTATGTGGTACTATGTACCTTTTTTTTTCTTTATGTTTGTAATATTAGTTTGTGAGTTTCCAGCGTTAATTGCAATGATGTACGCTTAATTTGGAGTTCTGGGCTTGGTATTCTTCGGTTCAAGTATTAATTTGTGCTTTTTTCTTGCTATCTTAATATATTTCTTTTCGAAATTTCCTTAATTTTTGTTGTATTTTTCTTTTGACTTTTGTTTTTCGTACATTATTTTCCTATAATTCATGAATTTTTCTTGATTTCATTTTATGTATACGATCATTGGGGAATTATGCATGGTTGTTTAACATCAACAAATTGCCATTGATTTTTGGCATTTCTTGATTCTTCCTCTCTTTTTGTCAATGTATTTCTGAACTTTCGAATAATTATAAAATTTATTGTGGGATATTTGTGTAACCATAAAGCTGATTCACCTGTTTTTATGTACTTATTTCAAATCTATCTTGAGTTTGAGTGTTCTTCTCTTCTTTTTCTGTTTGTCTTTTTGGAGCTTGTTTATTTAGATGTCCATGTATGATGATTGTAGTATACTTCCCCTTTAGCAAATGCAATTAGGTCAAATTTATAATGTATAATTTCTTTGTGATATTCAGCATTCACGCTATATAATTGTATGTTCATATTTTTTATAACGATGGGTGGAAGGTTTTTTTTCCTTTATTTTTCAAAAAGTATATGTTGATTATTACTATTTCCTTTAGCTGCCACTTTTTTCCTTCAATTTAGCCATAAGCGATCAGATTATATGGTGCCTTACATATCTTGATTTCCACAATTTCACTGCATCTCTTTTTGCATTCATTAATAATTAATAATATCTTGGGTTACATAATTTCACTGTTTTTTTTGTTTTATCTATATAACTGGGGAAATTTTCAATCTAGGTCACAGTTGTTTTTGTCGATTTATATGTGTTTTGTTTCTGCACTTCCATTTGCTAACAGAGGAAGTGGGCAAAATTAGTGTCTTGGTTCTTGACATTCTATATTTTATGTGATTTTCTTTTTCTCCTCCACTTTGAGGTGTAAGTTAACCTTTCTGTTAAGGGCCTATTTTAAAACTAATTTTATGAAATTTTCCTTGTAAATATCTTCTTCATTTTAGGGTTCCCTTGCTTTTTAAAATATTGGTTTTGTTATCTGGGTGAGAGGGGCAGCAGTTCTATACATGAACCTGTTGAAACCTCGCTTTTTATAGAAGTGAACTGTTGAACATTTGAAAACAAAAGTGAGATCTTCTCCTTTCCCAGCAAGTAGTCCTTTGGTCGAGATATCAAGCAATGGTGGCTGTCTTTATTTTCTTACTTTTATTTTTATTTATTTCTATGGATCAGAAAACAAATTAAGAAACATACAGATGATTGTTTATGCACTAAATATGCTTCAAAGCTGCGTAATTTATGCCAAGGACAAGCTTACTTGCATGCCTTCATTTACTGATTTTCTAATTGTTTGATGATTTTGCAGGTACCAATTTTGTGAACATTTATTAATAGAAAGCTTCTTGGATTTTGTGATACCCAATCATAAGTATGCTCTTTGTTTTATGGGCTGTATTCAGTCGAGACATGCTAAGCAGCCACCTGGCTATGAGGAACCTGACATTCTTGCTGCTGAGACATCATGTGAGTAGTATAACCTCTTCTTCTATGTCTATACTATATGTAGCTTCATTTGAGCATGTTTGGGTAGATTCATGCATGTAGATGTGCTTGTGCATCCCTGCTTGAATGTGTGCGTATTTAGGGATATGTGCAACTTATTGGCTTTACATTACTATAGTATTTTGTGAATGTGCAATTCATTTGTTAGGTTCTCATATTAGATTATAACTTTAATGGTCATGTTGTACATTTGGCAGTTAGCGTAAATGAAGTGGAGGCCTTATACGAACTATTTAAGAAACTAAGCAGTTCCATAATAAATGATGGCCTGATTCATAAGGTATCGCTCTTCGTAAATTCATCTTTGGATTGCACTGCTTAACATTCATGTGCCTTTCTTTTAGGTGGAATAGAATTTGCGAGTTTGTATCAACTAGATGTTTTATCACAGCTGTCTTATGCATGTTATTTTTTTATCTTCTACTTGTGGTTTCATTGGCAGGAGGAGTTCCAACTTGGCCTCTTTAGGAACAGCAGCAAAAAGAACTTCTTTGCAGACCGGGTGAGAAATTAGAAGTTGGACGTACTTAGTGTCTTCATATTTTCCATTGTTTTATTGCTGTTGATACCCTGAAAAATATTTGATGCATGGTTGTAATGTATGTCATAATACATAATTGATGATTCCTTCCTATTGTTAGTAATGAGAGTGTGTTTAGAAATCTACAGCCTTAAACTCACTTGACTCCAAAGATATAAAATTTCATCGAACATGTGCTTCCCCTCAGTTCTTGATAATTTGTGGAAGCAATTTCCAGACTGAGATAATCTTTCTGTGTCCCACTCCTCAAATATGTGTATTCGAACAACCATCAAGACACGAATGCTTAGTAACCCCCATAGAGCATTTAAGATTACTTTCGCACATCAACACCAACTCCCTTGATCATCTAAAGTTTGTAATATGCCTTTCAATGTTTTCCAGGAGTAGAGATGAGATGATTTTAGCGGGAAAAGTTTCAGTGATTCTTAATGAGCATTGAGTGTGCCTTTTACACTTAGAAGGAAAAAGTTGCGGTAAACTTAAGGGGAATATTCTCAACAGACCAACATTAAAGCTTGTGTTGAAGAATTAGATCCACTGGGAGCGAGAGTGCCGCTCTTCAAGACATGATCCTAAAATGTAGTCCTTGATGCCTGAGATGGCTGTACAGTATTCCCAGTCTACTGCCATAACTGGAGCAAAATGTATGTTTGCTCCCTCAAGTAAAACCTAACTTAGAGTACTTTTAGGAGCCCAGAATTTAGGGATGTTACCTGCTCAACTTCGTGACCGAAAAATAAAAAATACACACCCTTGATCATCCTGAAAAAATCACTCCCTTGGATTGCACATATGCCATCTAATTTTTTTAAGGTGAAATCTGGGTGTTTAGGTACCCAATGTCCTTTTCTTTTCTTTAGAAATACTCGTGTGATGATCCTAAAGAGGATTCCAAAATTTCGAATAAAAAAAATCCTCCTAAGTTGGTCAATTGCCTGAGGTAATAAATGGATATTTTTGCCCCCATGGGAGCATCATATATGCGCTCAACTGCATAATGTGAATTCATTGAATGTTTTCATGAAAGATCACTGTCAAACAAAACAACAATCTGTTTCTCTAGTTCCATCAGGATTGTGGACTTCATTGGCGAACCTTATAAAACTAGAGGGGTCTCCCAATGTGAATCTTACCGTTTGGCCCCAACAGGGGATCCGGCACTAACCTCCCAAATTTGCACCATCAACTTGTTGAAAGAGAAGTGCAGTTACTCTATCTATTGTCACCAAACTTCCATCCAAACACCAAATGTCAAGCACATAACTCAATGCATGTCGCTCCTGTAATCCTTTACGACATTTCTCATCACCCTAATGAAGCTTCCTGGTTCCCAAACTGCTTGTATTCTCCTGTCTTTCCTTTTAGATCAAGTTATCCTCACTGCTCCCATTACCTAGAACTCCCATCCCACCTGCAATCCTATGTCAACCTACTAGCAAAGATGAGAAAAGATCTTGCCTTCTTCAAATGCACTCTGTATAGACACTTAATCTAGTGAACCAAATGGACTGACAGTTGCCTCTCCTTTAATGAAGTGCCTCTTTGACAAGATCAAATAATATCACCTACTACCGATAATTGTTAATAACATTCTGTATTTCATAAATTGGAAAGAATTAATAGTGATTTCTAGTTGGTTTTCTATGCTAGAAATTTGGAATGGCTTCAACAGTGAATTGTTTCGAATACACTTGAATGCATTTATTTTCATATGAATTTTGTCATTAGCTAATGCTTGTCATAAAGCTTTTTCCCTCACAGGTAGTGGATACTCAAAACTCCTTGGATATATATTTTCCACCTGAGCTTTATGAATTTGCACTTGTGCTTTTTTTGCTTCCTTTCAAAGTTTTACTTGGTTATTAACTTGCTTATATTTGATGAGACAATATGTACCCATTTCGGTTCTATGATAATGTCCTGTCTGGCCGTGTAGCATAGTTGCTGAAAAGCGGACCAGTGTCTCACTGCATGTCATTTGTTGCATCTGGACTCTTTTTTCTTCTTCTTTTTTGAAATGGTGTTCATGTTTGTAATTTATGGTGTAAGTTTCCTTCATTTCGATAATAGTACATTCATATAATAACTTCATGGTTCATTTCATCACTTATGTTTTTCATGGTATATGATTTCAGATATTTGATTTATTTGATGTCAAACACAATGGAGTCATTGAGTTTGGGGAATTTGTACGATCCTTGAGCATTTTCCATCCAAACACTCCAGAGGCAGACAAAATCTTATGTAAGTCATTTACCATGCTGTTACAAGTTACAACATTGTATACTCCTTAGTTATATTATATTATTTTCTTTTCTTTTAAGTTTATGTTCTATGACTCCCTTTCAGAATCCCCTAATGTGATGGCTATTTGTAGAAATTTGATAAACATTCCATGTGTATTATAACAAGTATTTATATATGTATTTTCATATTGTATTTATGATTTGCAAGCTCTGACATGATTTTCAAGTGGCTGGAGGCATTTCCAGTTCTTACATTATTGTAAAACATGTGACAGTTGCGTTCCGGTTATATGATTTACGGCACACTGGATTCATTGAACGTGAGGAGGTAACCCTTGAGAATTTTTGATATCTTTGCTTCAGTGGTTACTCTTATTTTCCTTCTAAAAAATAGTATCCCCCATGTTATGTCCTTTTATGGCACAAACATTATGGATGTCATAGATTATGGCCATTTTGAGCAATGCATTGGTTTCATGTTATTCTTGTAACTAAGAAAGTTGGCTTTGCATGTGTATGTGTGTGAGCGCTGCCCGGTGCATGTCCATGTGCATGTTGTGTCGTGCGTACAACATCACACACAAAATACATCAAGAACTCTAGATCTTTAGATATTGGTTTCATTTGCTTTAAATAGGCGTTGACACATACATCAAGAACTGGTGGAGAATAATGTTGTCGATTTTTCAACAGTTGAAAGAGATGGTGTCGGCGCTTTTAAATGAATCAGATCTGGATCTTTCAGATGATGTTATTGAAACCATAGTTGATACGGTGTGGATACCCTCACAGATCTCCTCTTATCTCTTTCTATTTAGACATGTTATCTCTTTCTATTTAGACATGAAAACATAGTATCATTCTTATGATATGATACTATCTGAAAGAATCTCATGTATGTTTCCTTGAATTTAGATCCACCATGCTAAAACCTAATTTTTAAAGGTGCCATCTCTAGAAAGAAATGCCATTTATTGGTCAGTTTCTGTCATCCTAAGAAGTCATGAATAGCTTGGACCAGATGCAAACATTGGATTATTGTTTTCTGGTGAATTTCTTTGTTAAGTCTTATATGAACCTGTTCTCTCATTGTCTGTTCTGTCATCTCTTATGTATTTCTTGCAGACATTTAGTCAAGCAGATACAAAAGGGGATGGAAAAATTGACCAAGAAGAATGGAAAGAATTTGTGAAAAGGAATCCATTAATTTTGAAGAACATGACTCTTCCATACCTCAAGTGAGTCCTCTTTTGAACTCCGACCTTTTGTACTCTCATTCTTTAAAATGTGTAATATATATGGTCTGCCTTCAGGAGCTGTAGGCATACAAGGAGCATAGTGCACCTTTTCCAACTCTTGGACTCGTATTCTTTGTGACCGTACCACGAATAATAAAAAAAGAAAAATATTCTTACATATCCTCCTGCCAGTCAGATGAAACTTGGTACAAAATTTGGACTTACCTGTCCAAGATATGTTTGTTCTGTTGTTTTCGTAACTTGGTTCACTTAAATACCAAGAAGTTCAATTACAATGAATATCTCCCATGATACAGTATGGATATTATAGTTATATTACAACTATTAATATGCATATGTATATTACATACATGAAAGAGGCTACATTGGTCTACCCTCTACCATTATCAGAACGTTATGGGCATTTGTTTTGCACCAAACTAGGCAGACAGACCATCTCAATGCCAACAAAGTGCGGGCGTTCCATTTCGTGGCCGCTAGATCTAGGTAACCCTTCAAGAACTCAAAATCCTTTTTTTTAAAAATTATTTATCTGGTCATGAAGAGGCATTCTATGAAATCGTGGCTATCTGAATTCCCTGGGCTTCAATCTAAAGCTGTTTTATTCTTTTCCCAAAATGGATGCCTTGTACTCAACATTTTCTCCTCAAGAAAAGCCATTTGCATTCTTTTTCAAGGATATTCTTCACCAGCACCAAAAGGATGTGTGTGCCATATTTGGGGAATGGAGGAGGGTGGCCAGCTGGATGAACCAAATGTTTTCCATAATTATTATGTTTTTATTAATATGTGCACATGTGTATATGCACACCTTCACATTTTTTCTCTAGTTTTTGTCCTGAGGCAATTGTGCTTCGCTTTCCTATAATTTCTTACAAGTTTGTGCATGATCAGTCCCCAGCACACTTTATTTCATTCCTGGAGACTTCATTACTGATGTGACTTTCACTCTCCTCAGGGGCATAACTTTAGCATTTCCAAGCTTTGTGTTTAACTCTGAATTGGAAGATGCAGAGCTCAGTGTATCAACAAAGCATATCATTGACTCTGAATTCTGCTCGAACGTTCAAAGCGCCACACAAACTTCTGTCCGAATTGAGAAGGGTAATGTTTCTACTTAATGGAGGAAGGTAATGCAGTTCTCAATGTAAGATATCTACAATATTCCTCTCTCAAGAAATGGCTATGGAGCAAGGGTACATTCTTCAGAGCCATATGTTTTACTATCTCTCTACCCATTTTTGTTTCAAACAGAATGAGATTATGGAATAAGTTGGCATCAGGGTGACAAGTGTAAGCAACGCGGTAGTGTACATAAGGACTTGTTATCTGATATTGGTTGAGCTTATAGTGATCTGGGGTTTTGGGCCATTGTGGATGGGAAGGATGGGGGGCTCGAGCTCCATTTTTTGAAGTGTAAATGTGATATATAGTATGAGTTCTTCAGCTGTATATTCTTTTTCCCTTTTTTCCTGCCTATTTAAAGAGTATACATGTTTGTTATCTTGTTTTTGGTACTTAAAGAAGAAAGAAATGGTGGAGAATGTGCTTGAGTGTGCGTGTGGTTGTGGAGAGAGAGAGAGAGAGAGGAGGGAGGGAGGGAGGGAGGGAGGGAGAGAGAGAGGAGGGAGGAGAGAGAGAGAGAGAGAGAGAGTAGTCGTGTATAGTGTCGTACTTACTTTCGTTAGTAGTAGTAGGTACGGTACCGTACCGTAGGACGACGTACTTATTTAGTTTTTGTTTTAGTAGTAGTAGTACG